AAGGTTTAAAAAATTTTTTTTTGATTGGGTTTTTGGAAACCCCTTAAATACCTGGGAAATGGGGGCCCTTTTTGGTTCCCGGGGGAATTTCCAACCCAAAGGGTTTGTTTTCCCAGGCCCATCAAAAGATTGGGTTGAGGAAAAAATTTTAAGGGGAAAGGCCCCCCACCCAAAAAGGGGGGCCCCATCCCCAAAATTGGGGGGTTTTTGGTTTTTTGGCCCCAAAACTTTGAAAAACCAAATAGAATTTTTGGGGAAACCCGCCCCAAAAACCCAAATTTTGGTAAATAAGGGGGGGGGCACGTAAAAAAAAAAAACCTTTCCTTTTCCTCCGATTTAAAAAAATTTGGGGGTAAACCACTTTTTTCCCTAGAGATTTGTGGGGGAAAATTTTCCGCAAAAACCCAAATTTTTTTCAAAACCTTTATTTTGGAAAAAAACAGTGATTTTTTTCCCCTGGGTTTGCCATTTTTTTTGGAGGGTTTCCCCGGGGGGTTTTTGGGGGAAAGAAAAATTTTAAGGTTTGGTTTTAAAAAGCCCCGCGTAATTTGGCCCCAAATTTCCCCTTTTGATTTTTTTTTGAAATTTTTGGGAAAATATTTCCCCTTATTTTTTTTTGATTTTTTAAACGATGCCCCCCAAATCCCCCCCTTTCCGCAGTTTCCCGGTGGGGGCCCAGGGGGTAAATCTCCCCCGACCCTCCCCGGTTTTTTTGCGAAAAAAATTTTTTTAAAAAGCGCGGCGCCAAACCCCCCTTTTAAGGCCCCAATTCCCCGCTAACAAAGCCCTTTAAAAAATGAAAAAACCCATTCTAAAAATTGGGCGACGAAAACCCCTTCCAAAAAAAGGTTTTCCCCAAACGCCCCCAAAAAATTTTTGGGGGGATATCGGAGTTTGATAAATTTGTTTAAAAAGGGGGGCCAAAAACCTCCCTTTTTAGATAAAACCCTTTTTTTCGGAAATGAAAAGTTTGGTTGGAAAATGTTTTAAAAAAATTTTTTTTGGGGGAAAACCCAAAAATTAAAAAGGATTTTTCAATACCCCAAAATTTTTTTGGAAAAAAAAAAATTTGGGGGCGGGGCCAAAAAATTAAAAGCGTTTTAAAAAACCCCCAAACCCCCCTATGCGGGGCCCAAAACGCGGGGGGGCCTTTCCAACTTTTTCCAAATGGGCGCCCCTACCTAGTCTAAGGAAACATTTGGGTCCCAAAATTTTTAAAGGCCCCCTTGGGTGGGGGCCCCACCTTTTTTTCCCAAAATTTTTAGCTCTTTTTTAAGAAAAAAGTTTTTTAAAATTTTTAAAATTTAAAAAAAAAAAAGTTTTTCCATTTTAAAATTGTAAATTTAAAAACGGGGAAAAACCAAAAATATTTCAGAAAACTTTAAAGGCCCAAAATTTTTTAATGAAAATTTTTTTTTTTTCCAAATTTTGGTTGTATTTCCCCCACCCTCCCTTTGATCAAAAAAATTTTTAAAAAACCTAAAAAAAAAGAAATTTTTTTAAAAAACCCCCCCCCCCCCCCCCCCCGGCCCCAAAAAAAACAATAACGGGCCCGTAAAAATTGAAACAAAGGGTCCCCACCCCCCCCATAGGCGGTTAACAAAATAGGGAAAACCCCGATCCCGGGCCTTAAAAATTATCAAATTTTTTTAAATTTATAACTTTAAAATTTTAAAGTTTTTTAAATTATTTTGAATAAAATTGAGGGGGAAAATTGGGTTTTTGAAATTTTTTAAATTTAACTCGAAACCGCAAATTTTTTTTTAAGGGAAAACCCAAAAACTTTAAAAAGATTCCCCCCCCATTTTTTTCCAAAAAATTTTGGGATTTTTTGAACCCAAATAAAAAAATTTTTCCCCTCAAAAAAAAGCCCGCAAAAATTTTGGGGGTTTTTTTTAATTCATCCGGAAACCCCTTTCCCCCCCAAAACCCCCGGGAAAAAAAAAATCATTTTAAAACGCCCCCAAATTTTATACTTTTTAAAATTTTTTTAAAAAATAAAATTGGAAAAAAATTAAAAAAATTTTATTAAAAACTTTTTTCCGGGGAAAATTTTTAATAGGGAAAACAAAAAAAACCTCGGGGAACACGGGAGAAGTTTAAAATTTGAAAAATTTTTCCCCCCCCGAAAAAAACCCCGAAATTTCCCAAAGTAAACCCCAGACGGGCCTGGGGGGGGAAATTTTAAAAAACAAATAAAAATTGGGGGAAAAACTATTTTTTATAGGGGAAAAACACCCGGGGCCCCCCCCGCGGGCAAACCTTTTTTTGGCATTTTTTGGGGGGCCCCCCGGGGAAACCCCCCTTTTTTTTTAAAAGGGGGTTGGGGTTTTCCCCGGGGCCCCTTTTTTTTTGGGGCCCAACCCGCCACTCTGAAATCAAGTTTCACAAAAAAATACCCATTGGTCATTGAGATCGGTCATTGAGTGACCGAATGAGATATGTCCTGGTAGTGGTATAACTTAATGGCTGCACGACTTCCAGGCCCCCTCTATTATTAGGGGTCAGATCATATGACGTATAATTAGTGATGCGACGTATAATTAGTGATGTGATCCACCAACTACGATTTACAGAACATGTGAACTCTACCCTACATCTAGCCCAGTTTTACCCCTTACTTTTGATTTAAATTAACAAGTCAATACACATTTTTCATAGGATAATTAATCAAATTTATTGAATACTGAATACTGAATACTGAATACTGAATACTGAATACTGAATACTGAATACTGAATACTGAATACTGAATACTGAATACTGAATACTGAATACTGAATACTGAATACTGAATACTGAATACTGAATACTGAATACTGAATACTGAATACTGAATACTGAATACTGAATACTGAATACTGAATACTGAATACTGAATACTGAATACTGAATACTGAATACTGAATACTGAATACATCAATTATAGTTTTCTAAACAGTTATAACAGTTGGCAAACAATTTATCTGCAAAATAAATCTTCTCAAAATTTTTCTGGATGTTCTTTTGAACAGCTTGACAGAGGTGGAAGAAGCAATTGCTAACATCCCACCCTGGCAAACTCTTCAAAAAAGCATTTGGAGAAGGTAGGCATGTTGATAAGGCATCATGTAGCCTCCAGGCTCGACAAACCCCGACAGACGGGGTTTGTCGGGGTTTGTCGAGCCTGGAGGCTACATGAGGCCTTCTTGTGTAGTGTTTTTCCACGTAAAGCTTGATGACTCCGTATCGGCTTTTTGTTGGGAGACTCAAAAAAAAAAAAAAAAGCCTCCAGGCTCGACAAACCCCGACAAACCCCGACACAGCCGACAAACCCTGACAAACCCCGACAAACCCCGACAAACCCCGACGAACCCTGACAAACCCCGACAAACCCCGACGTGTCGAGATATGTCGTATCATGTCCGGCCCACCGGCTACATGATGCCTTTGATAGAATGCGATACTATTGTCTATCATCTTCCCGTATATATACCTAAGAACACTTGATCGGCTCACTCCCGTTGCATGCCTTTGGCACGTACGTATCACATCCCTAGATACGAGAACCCCCCTTTAGCAAGAGCTCCCGTCCCTTATGTGATATACGAGTCGAGCGGTCAAATCTTAAAGATCATGTTTACTTCTTAATGAACTGCTATGATGTACATGTGAACTCTACCCTGTATCTAGCCCATTTCTAGGTCAGTTAAATCCTACTGATGGATCACATCACTAATTATACGTCACTAATTAGTGATATGATCTGATCTCCCTGGGTCCCCTAGTAATGAGGGGGCCTGGCCGTCGGCCTCCCTAACTTAATCCAATCAATTTTGCTAACGAGATAAACAAATTGCTTGATAACTTCGTCATTTTAATTCCGTTTCATATAATATCCGACCTTGTGATGACCTATTGCAATGGAGTCTCGATCCAACATGTTCACAAATACAAGTATAAGCATTAAGCAATTCAATGTTGACTGGGTGTGGCCCCAAAATATCGAATTTTCAAATTTTTGCGACGGAATCGTCGAATGAGTAGTTACAGTATACCATTTGAAAATGTATAGGTCTCAAATACCAAACCAAACGTATGTAAACTAACTCTTGCTATGATTTTGATAATCCGAGACTGATAACATATCATAAATTAGAGAGCAAATTGATCGTCGTGTCTCTAAAAAATGAATGCCTAAATTATTCGTTCACCAAATAAAGTTCTAAATTTCCAGCCCAAATTTTTGATACTCAAGTTTATTGAGGCCAACGTTTTGGCAAACCAATATTTGGTAACTGAAGTATACCAATTTTTAAAGAGAAGTTATTGGTCCATTTTACAACGCTTAACACGTAAACTTATTATATAAACTATTTATAGTTACTTATTATATAAACTATTTATAGTTACTTATAAGTATAAATGAACCGAATACCAACACGACGTGATATACCTGTTTGTTATGTCTATAATGACGTGATATACCTGTTTGTTATGTCTATAATGACGTGATATACCTGTTTGTTATGTCTATAATGACGTGATACACCTGTTTGTTATGTCTATAATGACGTGATATACCTGTTTGTTATGTCTATAATGACGTGATATACCTGTTTGTTATGTCTATAATGACGTGATATACCTGTTTGTTATGTCTATAATGACGTGATATACCTGTTTGTTATGTCTATAATGACGTGATATACCTGTTTGTTATGTCTATAATGACGTGATATACCTGTTTGTTATGTCTATAATGACGTGATATACCTGTTTGTTATGTCTATAATGACGTGATATACCTGTTTGTTATGTCTATAATGACGTGATATACCTGTTTGTTATGTCTATAATGACGTGATATACCTGTTTGTTATGTCTATAATGACGTGATATACCTGTTTGTTATGTCTATAATGACGTGATATACCTGTTTGTTATGTCTATAATGACGTGATATACCTGTTTGTTATGTCTATAATGGCTAGAAGTCTCGCTGCTGGCGCTGTCCTCTAAGTCTATACTGTCCTTTTGCTGCTGCATCTGCTCCATCGTGTGGTTATTTACCAGATCAACCTGCCAAAACGCGCTGTAAGTACAGGGTCTAACACAACCTGTGTATAAGTACAGGGTCTAACACAACCATGTATAATGTATAGTGACCATAGTAACCAGGTGTATGTATAGTAACCATAGTAACCGAGTGTATGTATAGTGGCCATAGTAACCAAGTGTATGTATAGTGACCATAGTAACCAGGTGTATGTATAGTAACCATAGTAACCGGGTGTATGTATAGTAACCATAGTAACCAGGTGTATGTACAGTGACCATAGTAACCGGGTGTATTTATAGTAACCAGGTGTATGTCTCACTTGCTCAAGGCCGTTGTTTCTCAGCGCTATCCGGTTCAGTTCCTCCTCAAGGTTCCTCCGTTGGTTATGAGACTCTGTCAGCTCTGCGTTCCGCTGTGAAATCGTGTCTGCAATGGTATGAGGTTACTCTTAGTTCCGCTGGAATATCGTGTCTGCAATGGTATGAGGTTACTCTTAGTTCCACTGTGATATCGTGTCTGCAATGGTATGAGGTTACTCTTAGTTCCGCTGTGATATCGTGTCTGCAATAGTATGAGGTTACTCTTAGTTCCGCTGTAATATCGTGTCTGCAATGGTATGAGGTTACTCTTAGTTCCGCTGTGATATCCGTGTCTGCAATGGTATGAGGTTGCTCTTAGTTCTGCTGTGATATCGTGTCTGCAATGGTATGAGGTTACTCTTAGTTCCGCTGTGATATCGTGTCTGCAATGGTATGAGGTTACTCTTAGTTCCGCTGTGATATCGTGTCTGCAATAGTATGAGGTTACTCTTAGTTCCGCTGTAATATCGTGTCTGCAATGGTATGAGGTTACTCTTAGTTCCGCTGTGATATCCTGTCTGCAATGGTATGAGGTTGCTCTTAGTTCTGCTGTGATATCGTGTCTGCAATGGTATGAGGTTACTCTTAGTTCCGCTGTGATATCGTGTCTGCAATGGTATGAGGTTACTTTTAGTTCCGCTGTGATATCGTGTCTGCAATGGTATGAGGTTACTCTTAGTTCCGCTGTGATATCGTGTCTGCAATGGTATGAGGTTACTATTAGTTCCGCTGTGATATCGTGTCTGCAATGGTATGAGGTTACTTTAGTTCCGCTGTGATATCGTGTCTGCAATGGTATGAGGTTACTCTTAGTTCCGCTGTGATATCGTGTCTGCAATGGCATGAGGTTACTTTTAGTTCCGCTGTGATATCGTGTCTGCAATGGTATGAGGTTCAGTAAACTTACTCTTAGTACTATAAGTAATAATCAATTTCTAATCTACCAACTTCTCAGTCCCTTTATTTCTTCGTCCAAAGAACTTTTTTGTTTTTTCAGTCGAACTAGTGTTTCCAAAGACATATCTTCCTATAAAATGCTTTAGTAACCATAGTAACCAGGTGTATGTTATCAATGAGCTGATTAGGTTGATAATTATAATTTTGGTTGGTTTTAGTCAAAATTAAAATAAATGAGACGCAAAACTAAAGTAATTGAGACGCTCACGGAATTCCTTAATTCCTTAATAAGGAGTGTTTCATACTACTTATTATAAACAGTGATATGACAGTGATATGACAGTGATATGTATAGTACTATTATACAGTACGAGTGCAGTGTATATTGTATAGTGTATAGTATATAGTGTATAGTGTATAGTGTATAGTGTATAGTGTATAGTGTATAGTGTATAGTGTATAGTGTATAGTGTATAGTGTATAGTGTATATTGTATGGTGTATAGTGTATAGTGTATATTGTATGGTGTATAGTGTATGGTGTATAGTGTATAGTGTATGATGTATATTGTATGGTGTATGGTGTATAGTGTATAGTGTATAGTGTATAGTGTATAGTATATAGTGTATAGTATATGGTGTATAGTATATAGTGTATAGTATATAGTGTATACTGTATATTGTATATTGTATAGTGTATATTGTATGGTGTATAGTGAATAGTGTATGGTGTATAGTGTATAGTGTATAGTGTATAGTGTATAGTGTATATTGTATGGCGTATAGTGTATGGTGTATAGTGTATGGTGTATAGTGTATTGTGTATGGTGTATTGTGTATGGTGTATAGTGTATAGTGTATAGTGTATAGTGTATAGTGTATAGTTTATAGTGTATAGTGTATAGTGTATAGTGTATAGTGTATAGTGTATAGTGTATATTGTATGGTGTATAGTGTATGGTGTATGGTGTATAGTGTATAGTGTATAGTGTAAAGTGTATAGTGTATGGTGTATAGTGTATGGTGTATGATGTATGGTGTATGGTATATAGTGTATAGTGTATGGTGTATAGTGTATGGTGTATAGTGTATAGTGTATAGTGTATGGTGTATGGTGTATGGTGTATAGTGTATGGTGTATAGTGTATAGTGTATAGTGTATAGTGTATAGTGTATAGTGTATAGTGTATAGTGTATATTGTATAGTGTATAGTGTATAGTGTATAGTGTATAGTGTATAGTGTATAGTGTATAGTGTATAGTGTATAGTGTATAGTGTATAGTGTATAGTGTATAGTGTATGGTGTATATTGTATAGTATATAGTGTATAGTGTATGGTGTATAGTGTATTGTGTATAGTGTATAGTGTATGGTGTATAGTACTATTATACAGTACGAGTGCAGTGTTTAACGTGGCTAACTCATTCCATAATTATGACAGAAATAAAGAAATTGGACCAATAATAATAATATAATACCAGTTACAAGTTACAACTTCTTTCATTAATTAAATAATCAAATATTTACAGCATGTCAAATTAAAATACATTTTACTCAAAACAAGCGCGGTGACTATGGCTGGACAGTGAATCAAGCCCCTTTTATTGCATTAAGAAGTCGTTCAGCAGGTTTACTTTTGGTTTAAAACTAGTTCGATGGTTAAGATTTAATGAAATTTTTGCTAAATACGCGCAACAATGTACGGAATTGTTTGTTGAAAACCCCAAAAATCACCATATTCGGGTGCCTAAAAACTATGTATGTTAAAATTTAAATTAGAGAAACAAATCCCAAGTTTCGGGACTACCGGAAGGGATTTTTCTGGAACTCCTATTTTACAACAGATTGTCGTAAAGTATTAGTTTATTTATCTATTTCTTCAGGGATAGACGCTTTGCCTCTCGATTGTAGCACATATTCTAATGTCCGTAGATAGGCGCACTACCTAGTAGATTTGTAGAAAACAATTTTGTGAATTAGTATTTTCTGGTGTTGAGCTGTCAAGCTCTATTAGAAGCTCTATTACATGTGGGGCCAGGCCCAAATTGATCTAAAATCGCTAAAATCGCTGAAAATGTCTTTTTTCTCGATTCATTTTTCTCAACTTTGGAAGTACTTAAAAATAAATTTTTTATGATTCATTATTCAAAATTAAATGCTGATGAGCACGCAACGCCCGCTGATTGACATCGTGAATCAATGGGAGCGATTGTTACAGCGTATTGCTAGACTGTACTACTGCAGTGCTATTGCTTGTTGCTACAGCGTGTTGCTACATAAACATTAGTGCTATTGCTACTGGCTACAGCGTATTCAGTGCATATTTTTATTTTAAGATGGCTATTTTTTATTTTGTCATTTCATTTAACACCGAATTAGAATATTTCGAACTAAAAATAAACCTGGCAAACAACATTTGGGGAGTCTTAGTGGGAAAATGAATTAAGTAAAAGGGGCAACGGTCTTGTTTGCCAGCACTATGCCTGACAAATAGTGGTAACTATGGTAACTATTGGTAACTAGTGGTAACTATGATTTAAATTGTCACTTAAATTTCCGAAAAGCGAAGTGAACTTAACTGTAAAGACTGAAGACTAAGTTAAGTACCATTAATATTAGTATTATGCGCGCGTCGTGCACTTCTCCATAATATATGGGCATGACATACACTTTACAAGATTTCACATAGTTTGCTTTTCTTGTTTCTTCCAAGTAGTTTGTTTCCCGTCCATATACTCAGTGCTCTCATTGATGTCTTGACTTTGGGTCCTCATTTGAACTTGACCTTCTTCGATTCTTTTGTGAAGTTGTTTCATTGTAGCAGCCGTTGTTTGCTCTAACCCACTGTTCCTGAAAAATACATTTCTAATCTTTCTAACTCAGAAACAATCACGATTGGTTGTTAGGTCCAAAATAATAAAATAGATTACTCACTTTCTGTGCATTGTTTTGTTTGTTTGGGGACTGGCTTTTGGTACACCGGCCAATGTTTACAAATAGGTGACTCACTTTCTGTGCATGAGGGAGAGTTCCTCATTTAAATAATAAAATAGGTGACTCACTTTCTGTGCATGAGGGAGAGTTCCTCTTCTAAATAATAAAATAGGTGACTCACTTTCTGTGCATGAGGGAGAGTTCCTCATTTAAATAATAAAATAGGTGACTCACTTTCTGTGCATGAGGGAGAGTTCCTCTTCCAAATAATAAAATAGATGACTCACTTTCTGTGCATGAGGGAGAGTTTCTCTTCTAAATAATAAAATAGGTGACTCACTTTCTGTGCATGAGGGAGAGTTCCTCTTCTAAATGATAAAATAGGTGACTCACTTTCTGTGCATGAGGGAGAGTTACTCATTTAAATAATAAAATAGATGACTCACTTTCTGTGCATGAGGGAGAGTTCCTCTTCTAAATAATAAAATAGGTGACTCACTTTCTGTGCATGAGGGAGAGTTCCTCATTTAAATAATAAAATAGGTGACTCACTTTCTGTGCATGAGGGAGAGTTCCTCATTTAAATAATAAAATAGATGACTCACTTTCTGTGCATGAGGGAGAGTTCCTCTTCTAAATAATAAAATAGATGACTCACTTTCTGTGCATGAGGGAGAGTTCCTCATTTAAATAATAAAATAGATGACTCACTTTCTGTGCATGAGGGAGAGTTCCTCTTCTAAATAATAAAATAGATGACTCACTTTCTGTGCATGAGGGAGAGTTCCTCATTTAAATAATAAAATAGGTGACTCACTTTCTGTGCATGAGGGAGAGTTCCTCTTCTAAATAATAAAATAGGTGACTCACTTTCTGTGCATGAGGGAGAGTTCCTCATTTAAATAATAAAATAGATGACTCACTTTCTGTGCATGAGGGAGAGTTCCTCTTCTAAATAATAAAATAGATGACTCACTTTCTGTGCATGAGGGAGAGTTCCTCATTTAAATAATAAAATAGATGACTCACTTTCTGTGCATGAGGGAGAGTTCCTCTTCTAAATAATAAAATAGATGACTCACTTTCTGTGCATGAGGGAGAGTTCCTCTTCTAAATAATAAAATAGGTGACTCACTTTCTGTGCATGAGGGAGAGTTCCTCTTCTAAATAATAAAATAGATGACTCACTTTCTGTGCATGAGGGAGAGTTCCTCTTCTAAATAATAAAATAGGTGACTCACTTTCTGTGCATGAGGGAGAGTTCCTCATTTAAATAATAAAATAGGTGACTCACTTTCTGTGCATGAGGGAGAGTTCCTCTTCCAAATAATAAAATAGGTGACTCACTTTCTGTGCATGAGGGAGAGTTCCTCTTCTAAATAATAAAATAGATGACTCACTTTCTGTGCATGAGGGAGAGTTCCTCTTCTAAATAATAAAATAGGTGACTCACTTTCTGTGCATGAGGGAGAGTTCCTCTTCTAAATAATAAAATAGATGACTCACTTTCTGTGCATGAGGGAGAGTTCCTCTTCTAAATAATAAAATAGGTGACTCACTTTCTGTGCATGAGGGAGAGTTCCTCTTCTAAATAATAAAATAGGTGACTCACTTTCTGTGCATGAGGGAGAGTTTCTCTTCTAAATAATAAAATAGGTGACTCACTTTCTGTGCTTGAGGGAGAGTTCCTCATTTAAATAATAAAATAGATGACTCACTTTCTGTGCATGAGGGAGAGTTTCTCTTCTAAATAATAAAATAGGTGACTCACTTTCTGTGCATGAGGGAGAGTTTCTCTTCTAAATAATAAAATAGGTGACTCACTTTCTGTGCATGAGGGAGAGTTCCTCATTTAAATAATAAAATAGATGACTCACTTTCTGTGCATGAGGGAGAGTTCCTCTTCTAAATAATAAAATAGGTGACTCACTTTCTGTGCATGAGGGAGAGTTCCTCATTTAAATAATAAAATAGATGACTCACTTTCTGTGCATGAGGGAGAGTTTCTCTTCTAAATAATAAAATAGGTGACTCACTTTCTGTGCATGAGGGAGAGTTTCTCTTCTAAATAATAAAATAGATGACTCACTTTCTGTGCATGAGGGAGAGTTCCTCTTCTAAATAATAAAATAGGTGACTCACTTTCTGTGCATGAGGGAGAGTTCCTCATTTAAATAATAAAATAGGTGACTCACTTTCTGTGCATGAGGGAGAGTTCCTCTTCTAAATAATAAAATAGGTGACTCACTTTCTGTGCATGAGGGAGAGTTCCTCATTTAAATAATAAAATAGATGACTCACTTTCTGTGCATGAGGGAGAGTTTCTCTTCTAAATAATAAAATAGGTGACTCACTTTCTGTGCATGAGGGAGAGTTCCTCATTTAAATAATAAAATAGGTGACTCACTTTCTGTGCATGAGGGAGAGTTCCTCATTTAAATAATAAAATAGGTGACTCACTTTCTGTGCATGAGGGAGAGTTCCTCTTCTAAATAATAAAATAGGTGACTCACTTTCTGTGCATGAGGGAGAGTTTCTCTTCTAAATAATAAAATAGGTGACTCACTTTCTGTGCATGAGGGAGAGTTCCTCTTCTAAATAATAAAATAGGTGACTCACTTTCTGTGCATGAGGGAGAGTTCCTCTTCTAAATAATAAAATAGGTGACTCACTTTCTGTGCATGAGGGAGAGTTCCTCTTCCAAATTTCTTCTGAGTTGGTGAGACTCAGCAAGTCTCGCATTTCTTTCCACAACTGTCCCTTTGAGAGCCTTTATTTCCTCTTCCAGCCACTTCACCTCCTTTTGGAGAACTGCTATTTCTCCCTCTAAACAATGGTTAATTAGAATTTCTTGATTTACACAACATAAATTCAAGATTAATATAGTGTCAAGTGTAGAGTTTCTGTCACGACAAGACTGCAAGAATGCAAGCGTAACAACACTTTATTTCTCCCAACAATTTATATCTAGTCCAAGTAAGAGCCTTGTCTCCAAAAACTCATCTGGACTAATGTTTCAGAGTGTGGCGTGTGCTAAAGCTTTCAGGCCCACACATTCCTTTCCCCGTTAGTTGCCTGTCCGTTTTCAACGCAATTAGCAGTCAAGGACAGAAAGTCATACACAAAATGATCATTATATTTTTATTGTTATAAATTTGTTGATTCTGTAAAATGTGCTTAAATTAAATTTCTTGTATTCATTGAAATATTTCTTGTTTCATTGGGTGTCTCTTTTTCCCAAACAAAAGGAAATCCACTCTACCCAATTATGGGTTTTGGTCCAATTTCTGGTACATCTCTTCTATAAGAGCAAATTCAAGAAAAATTTACCCAGGACTTCAGCTGACTTTTTATCGTCACTAATAGCAGCTATCCTCGAAGAACCGTTGTTGTTTTCTGCGTCTGCGTCCTCTGTAAAAATACCATTACAGATTAATTAAATTTCAAAAGGTTTTTGGTTATTTTGGTTTTAAAATTCTGTAGTTCACTCTTTAAAGAGCAAATTATATTAAAATCTATTTACAGGGGGGGGGGGGGGTCAGTTTACATACGTTATACCACTACAGGGAGGGGTCAGTTTACAGGGGTGGGGGTCAGTTTACAGGAGGTCAGTTTACAGGGGGGTTCAGTCTACAGGGGAGGGTCAGTTTACAGGGGGGGTCAGTTTACATACGTTATACCACTACAGGGAGGGGTCAGTTTACAGGGGTGGGGGGTCAGTTTACAGGGGGGGTCAGTCTACAGGGGGTCAGTTTACAGGGGGGTTCAGTCTACAGGGGAGGGTTAGTTTACAGGGGGGGTCAGTTTACAGGGGGGGTCAGTTTACAGGGGGGGGGGGGTCAGTTTACAGGGGGGTCAGTTTACAGGGGGTTCAGTCTACAGGGGGGGTCAGTTTCAGGGGGGTTCAGTCTACAGGGGAGGGTCAGTTTACAGGGGGGTCAGTTTACAGGGGGGGTCAGTTGACAGGGGGGGTCAGTTTACAGGGGGGGTCAGTTTACAGGGGGGGTCAGTTTACAGGGGTGGGGGGTCAGTTTACAGGGGTGGGGGTCAGTTTACAGGGGGGTCAGTTTACAGGGGGGTTCAGTCTACAGGGGAGGGTCAGTTTACAGGGGGGGTCAGTTTACAGGGGGGGGGGGGGGGGGGGGGTCAGTTTACAGGGGGGTCAGTTTACAGGGGGGTCAGTTTACAAAGGGGGTCAGTTACAGGGGTGTCAGTTTACAGGGGTGGGGGTCAGTTTACAGGGGGTCGTTTACCAGGGGGGTCAGTCTACAGGGAGGGTAGGGGGGTTCAGTTTACAGGGGGAGGGTCAGGTTTACAGGGGGGTTCAGTACAGGGGAGGGTCAGTTTACAGGGGGGGTCAGTTTACAGGGGGGGGGGGGGGTCAGTTTACAGGGGGGTCAGTTTACATACATTATACCACGCTATTTACAGAAGGGGGGCAGTTTACAGGGGGGTCAGTTTACAGGGGGGGTTCAGTCCTACAGGGGAGGGTCAGTTTACAGGGGGGGTCAGTTTACAAGGGGGGTCAGTTTACAGGGGGGGTCAGTTTACAGGGGGGGTCAGTTTTACATACGTTATACCACGCTATTTACAGAAGGGGGCAGTTTACAGGGGGGTCAGTTTACAGGGGGGTTCAGTCTACAGGGGAGGGTCAGTTTACAGGGGGGGTCAGTTTACAGGGGGGGTCAGTTTACAGGGTGGGGTCAGTTTACAGGGGGGTCAGTCTACAGGGGAGGGTCAGTTTACGGGGGGGGGGTCAGTTTACAGGGGGGTCAGTTTACAGGGGGGTCAGTTTACAGGAGGGGGGTCAGTTTACAGGGGGGGTCAGTTTACAGGGGGGTCAGTTTACAGGGGTGGGGGGTCAGTTTACAGGGGTGGGGGTCAGTTTACAGGGGGTCAGTTTACAGGGGGGTTCAGTCTACAGGGGAGGGTCAGTTTACAGGGGGGTTCAGTCTACAGGGGAGGGTCAGTTTACAGGGGGGGGTCAGTTTACAGGGGGGGTCAGTTTACAGGGGGGGTCAGTTTACAGGGGGGGTCAGTTTACAGGGGAGGGTCAGTTTACAGGGGGGTTCAGTCTACAGGGGAGGGTCAGTTTACAGGGGGGGTCAGTTTACAGGGGGGGTCAGTTTACAGGGGGGGTCAGTTTACAGGGGGGTTCAGTCTACAGGGGAGGGTCAGTTTACAGGGGGGGGGGGTCAGTTTACAAGGGGGGGTCAGTTTACAGGGGGGTTCAGTCTACAGGGGAGGGTCAGTTTACAGGGGGGGTCAGTTTACAAGGGGGGTCAGTTTACAGGGGGGGTCAGTTTACAGGGGGGTCAGTTTACATACGTTATACCACGCTATTTACAGAAGGGGGGCAGTTTACAGGGGGGTCAGTTTACAGGGGGGTTCAGTCTACAGGGGAGGGTCAGTTTACAGGGGGGGGGGGGGTCAGTTTACAGGGGGGGTCAGTTTACAGGGTGGGTCAGTTTACAGGGGGGTCAGTCTACAGGGGAGGGTCAGTTTACGGGGGGGGGGGGGTCAGTTTACAGGGGGGTCAGTTTACAGGGGGGGTCAGTTTACAGGAGGGGGGTCAGTTTACAGGGGGGGTCAGTTTACAGGGGGGTCAGTTTACAGGGGTGGGGGGTCAGTTTACAGGGGTGGGGGTCAGTTTACAGGGGGTCAGTTTACAGGGGGGTTCAGTCTACAGGGGAGGGTCAGTTTACAGGGGGGGTTCAGTCTACAGGGGAGGGTCAGTTTACAGGGGGGGTCAGTTTACAGGGGGGGTCAGTTTACAGGGGGGGGTCAGTTTACAGGGGGGGTCAGTTTACAGGGGGGTCAGTTTACAGGGGAGGGTCAGTTTACATACGTTATACCACGCTATTTACAGAAGGGGGGCAGTTTACAGGGGGGTCAGTTTACAGGGGGGTTCAGTCTACAGGGGAGGGGTCAGTTTACAGGGGGGGTCAGTTTACAAGGGGGGGGGGTCAGTTTACAGGGGGGGTCAGTTTACAGGGGGGGGGTCAGTTTACATACGTTATACCACGCTATTTACAGAAGGGGGGCAGTTTACAGGGGGGTCAGTTTACAGGGTGGTTCAGTCTACAGGGGAGGGTCAGTTTACAGGGGGGGTCAGTTTACAGGGGGGTCAGTTTACAGGGTTGGTCAGTTTACAGGGGGGGTCAGTTTACAGGGGTGGGGGGTCAGTCTACAGGGGAGGGTCAGTTTACGGGGGGGGGGTCAGTTTACAGGGGGGGTCAGTTTACAGGGGGGGGGTCAGTTTATCTCGTCAGAGTCAGACGAACCTATGGTAAGGTGATGTGACACTGGACCATTTTCCTTCATTTCCTTCTGAAATATTTTGGTTAAGAAGTGGCTTAGTTTTATTTTACATTTGTCACTTACATATTTTGTCCATGATAATGTTATGCTATCATGATCAAGATGTCAAAGGGTTAACAGACGCTGGGATGTGTTATGAATAGAACAGACGCTCGGATGTGTTATGAATAGAACAGACCTTTTTCTTGACATTATACAGATTGTGAGTGTCGGGACTAGTAGCTATTTCCATTGGCATATTTTCAGTCTCCAGTTCCCATTCTTTTTCTGTCTCCACATCCAGATGTACTGACTCTTGGAGACCACGTCCTGTAATAAACACTGTGCCATACGTCTAGTACAAGTAAGATACAGATTCACGATCGTGTGCATGTCTAGGATGTTTGTATGTAAAACTGTAGACCCTTAACCAAACTCATTTCCATAGAAATCCTTGTATCCTTGTATCCTTGTATCCTTGTATCCTTGTATCCTTGTATCCTTGTATCCTTGTATCCTTGTATCCTTGTATCCTTGTATCCTTGTATCCTTGTATCCTTGTATCCTTGTATCCTTGTATCCTTGTATCCTTGTATCCTTGTATCCTTGTATCCTTGTATCCTTGTATCCTTGTATCCTTGTATCCTTGTATCCTTGTATCCTTGTATCCTTGTATCCTTTTATCCTTGTATCCTTGTATCCTTGTATCCTTGTATCCTTGTATCCTTGTATCCTTGTATCCTTGTATCCTTGTATCCTTGTATCCTTGTATCCTTGTATCCTTGTATCCTTGTATCCTTGTATCCTTGTATCCTTGTATCCTTGTATCCTTGTATCCTTGTATCCTTGTACCCTTGTACCCTTGTATCCTTGTATCCTTGTATCCTTATTTGTCTAACATACATATTATATAATAATAATAGAACATATAATAATGAAACATACATATAATATAAGTGAGTTTTAATACTTTCAACACTACTATATAACAAATAATTTGAGCATGAATAAGAAGTTGTTACTTTGAAACGTCGTTTATCCTAACAGTGCAATATCATTTGTCGCAAATCAGAATAATCAGAAACCATTTGGAAAACCCAAAAACTGTCTATATAATATAACCATATATTACGATGATTTACAGTTTTATGCACACACTACGTCCGATAACAAGCTGAATAATACCTGTTTTCTTTCTGATGATCTCCTCAAAATTAAAATGTTCCGAGTCCTGCTCCTTGTTGCCACCCGACTGAGGAGACGAGTTCAGAGACTCCGATTTTTCGAATATTTCTGTAATGAACATGTGCTCAGACCTAGCTTTCTCTACAGGTTCTTGAGGGGGTTGGTTAGCTGCAGGATGCCCTGAATTTTCATGAACATTTCCACCAACCAGTGATGCTTGCCGGTTCATATTTTGCAGTTTCTTTGTTTCTTCATTGATTTTAGTCTTTATTTCTTCTAACAGTTCTTCCTTATTCCTCTCTTTTGGCGGCGACAATATCCGCTCAATGCGCGCGGAGATACTCTTGATAGCCTCCTCCAGCTCGGGAATAGGAGTTCCACTGACAGGTTCCTCTGTACCTGACTTAAAACTTGTTCCTTCATTGTCATTAACGAGAGTTATTTCCCCAGATGTCACTTTGTTATTGACGCGACCTAAAACTGAAGAAACTATTTTAGAGGCCTCCAGTGGGGCACCGTCACACACCACCATCTTGTGCTTTTCCTGAAAATTACATTTGTTATCTTTGTTTGAAGGGGGGGGGGGGTTCACCCTGATTTTTTGTGAAATTTGATTTCGAGATAGCAATTGACCAACAAACTAGGGCCTGTGACCGAACTTTTGAGTGGTTTCCAGACTCCGGGTGCACGTTTGACAGCCATGTAAGGTAAGCCTATACTACACATTCTCTATGATTATCAGCTCAATATCTACCTAACTGTGGATTTTGTGTTCAATTTAGGAATTATTGTTGACGAAAAATTGAACTGGGCTAGCCATATCCGAGCCGTCAAAACAATTGGAAGATTAGGGAGACCTAGAATGAACTTGTTATCTGTTTTAAGAAGTGATTTAAGTAGTAGAAATTTGCAAATGGACAACTTGCATGAATTGAACGAAATTGGAGATATAGCTGCATGCAACAGTTGTTGGGAAAATCTGTTTCAAGGGTACAGTTTACCGCATCAAGGTATTTTTAAGAATCATTTTTGTCGGTAAGATCCTGTTTTATAATAATAATAATATTGTTATGAATCATATGATTTTGTAAACATTGGCCGGTGTACCAAAAACCGGTCCCCCAAACAAAACAAACTGGTCACTAGCCCCCCCCCCCCCTCCACTGGTCACTAACAGTCCCCCCCCCCACTGGTCACTAACAGTCCCCCCCCCACTGGTAACTAACAGTCCCCCCCCCCCCACTGGTCACTAGCCCCACCTCACTGGTCACTAGCCCCCCCCTCCACTGGTCGCTAGCCCCCCCCCCTCCACTGGTCACTAACATTCCCCCCCCCCTCACTGGTCACTAACAGTCCCCCCCCCCATGTTCACTAACAGTCCCCCCCACTGGTCACTAGCCCCCCTCCTCCACTGGTCACTAACAGTCCCCCCCCCTCACTGGGTCACTAACATTCCCCCCCCCCTCCACTGGTCACTAACATTCCCCCCCCCCCCCCCCCCCCCCCCCCCCCCTCCACTGGTCACTAACAGTCCCCCCCCCCCCCCCCCCACTGTTCACTAACAGTCCCCCCCCACTGGGTCACTAGCCCCCTCCTCCACTGGTCACTAACAGTCCCCCCCCCCCCTCCTCCACTGGTCACTAGCCCCCTCCCCCCCCCCTTCCACTGGTCACTAGCCCCCCTCCCCCCCCCTCCACTGGTCTCCCTAGCCCCCCTCCCCCCCCCCCCCATCCACTGGTCACTAGCCCCCCCCTCCCCCCCCCCCCCCCCCCCCCCCCCACTGGTCACAGCCCCCCCCCCCCCCCCCCCCCCCCCCCCTCCAACTGGGTCACTAGCCCCTCCTCCCCCCCCCCCTCTCCACTGGTCACTAGCCCCCACCTCCTCCCCCCCCCCCCCCCTCCACTGGTCACTAGCCCCCATCCCACCCCCCCCCTCCACTGGTCACTAGCCCCCCCCCCCCCCCCCCTCCACTGGTCACAAGCCCCCTCCCCCCCCCCCCCCCCTGTCCACTGCCCCCCCCCCCTCCCCCCCCCCCCTCCACTGGTCACTAGCCCCCCCCCCCACCCCCCCCCTCCACTGGTCACTAGCCCCCCCCCCCCCTCCACTGGTCACTAACACGCCCCCTCCCCCCCCCCCCATCCACCCCACTGCGCTCACTAACAGCCCCCCCCTCCACTGGTCGAGGCTCTGGTCCTAACCTGATCCATGTGGTTGTGAGATTTGAAAGTTACGGGGCCGGAGACACTAACCCCGTATCTTTGATACTCTCTGTCAAGGTCTGACCTTAGTCCAACATGAAAATCTGAAAGATAAATATAAGTGTTTTTTTACTCTTAGAAAGCACTCCCACTAAATTCGCCCAAATTTTTTAATAAATCTTTTGAAAGAGACCCTAAGCGTATGAAAGTGGCAGTATCCACTCAATAATTATAACCCTGTTCAATGCGCGCGCGAGTCTAATATAGTCGATGATAAAATATTTACTTTAATAATAAAAACTTAACAAAATTTTGGCGCGCAGTAGGCTTTTCCAATATTTTGTCGCAAAATGTGCCTCGACAGTAGATGAATCCATAAATTTGGAACATGGGCACATCGCAGTATTGGCCGTATTTGAGTGCTGGGAAGGCTCAGTTCGGTTTTCTAAATGGATATAGCCGTAAGCTAGGCCTAGGAGCCATCAAAAGTCGTATAAAATTACCCATGGAATGACCAGAAATGAACGAAAATGAACATTCTTCTCAAAGTGCTCAGAATGGTTTAAAATGGGTCGGAAAGTGTTTACATTGGTCTTAGGACCACTCAAACCAAGTTTGGGAATCACTGCATGTCTAGAACCGATGTTACCAATGTTCCAAAATGTTCCAATTTTGGCACAATAATCCTCCTGAGAATCCAGATTTTTGGAACATGGGCACATCGAAGTATTGGCTGTATTTAAGTGCTGGGAAGCCTCAATTCGGTTTTCTAAGATGGATATAGGTAAAAACTAGGCCTAAGAGCCATCAAAACTAAAATAACATTACCCAGGGTTGTGGAATGAACGAAAATGAACAAAAATGAATATTGTCCTAAAAATGCTCAGACAAAACGGTTTAAAATTGGTCGGAAAGTGTTTATATTAGTCCTAGGACCACTCAAACCAAGTTTGGGAATCACTGCATGTCTAGAACCGATGTTACCAATGTTCCAAAATGTTCCAATTTTGGCACAATAATCCTCCTGAGAATCCAGATTTTTGGAACATGGGCACATCGAAGTATTGGCTGAGTTTAAGTGCTGGGAAGCCTCAATTCGGTTTTCTAAGATGGATATAGGTAAAAACTAGGCCTAAGAGCCATCAAAACTCAAATAACATTACCCAGGTTCATGGAATGAACGAAAATGAACAAAAATTAATATTGTCCTAAAAATGCTCAGAACGGTTTAAAATTGGTCGGAAAGTGTTTATATTAGTCCTAGGACCACTCAAACCAAGTTTGGGAATCACTGCATGTCTAGAACAGATATTACCTATGTTCCAAAATGTTCCAATTTTGGCACAATAATCCTCCTGAGAATCCAGATTTTTGGAACATGGGCACATCGAAGTATTGGCTGTATTTAAGTGCTGGGAAGCCTCAATTCGGTTTTCTAAGATGGATATAGGTAAAAACTAGGCCTAAGAGCCATCAAAACTCAAACAACATTACCCAGGTTCATGGAATGAACGAAAATGAACAAAAATGAATATTGTCCTAAAAATGCTCAGAATGGCTTAAAATTGGTCGGAAAGTGTTTATATTAGTCCTAGGACCACTCAAACCAAGTTTGGGAATCACTGCATGTCTAAAACCGATGTTACCTATGTTCCAAAATGTTCCAATTTTGGCACAATAATCCTCCTGAGAATCCAGATTTTTGGAACATGGGCACATCGAAGTATTGGCTGTATTTAAGTGCTGGGAAGCCTCAATTCGGTTTTCTAAGATGGATATAGGTAAAAACTAGGCCTAAGAGCCATCAAAACTCAAATAACATTACCCAGGTTCATGGAATGAACGAAAATGAACAAAAATTAATATTGTCCTAAAAATGCTCAGAACGGTTTAAAATTGGTCGGAAAGTGTTTATATTAGTCCTAGGACCACTCAAACCAAGTTTGGGAATCACTGCATGTCTAGAACCGATGTTACCTATGTTCCAAAATGTTCCAATTTTGGCACAATAATCCTCCTGAGAATCCAGATTTTTGGAACATGGGCACATCGAAGTATTGGCTGTATTTAAGTGCTGGGAAGCCTCAATTCGGTTTTCTAAGATGGATATAGGTAAAAACTAGGCCTAAGAGCCATCAAAACTCAAACAACATTACCCAGGTTCATGGAATGAACGAAAATGAACAAAATGAATATTGTCCTAAAAATGCTCAGAACGGTTTAAAATTGGTCGGAAAGTGTTTATATTAGTCCTAGGACCACTCAAACCAAGTTTGGGAATCACTGCATGTCTAGAACCGATGTTACCAATGTTCCAAAATGTTCCAATTTTGGCACAATAATCCTCCTGAGAATCCAGATTTTTGGAACATGGGCACATCGAAGTATTGGCTGTATTTATGTGCTGGGAAGCCTCAATTCGGTTTTCTAAGATGGATATAGGTAAAAACTAGGTCTAAGAGCCATCAAAAGTCAAATAACATTACCCAGGTTCATGGAATGAACGAAAATGAACAAAAATGAAAATTTTCCTTAAAGCGCTCAGAATGGTAAGAAAATGGTGGCAAAGAGTCAATATTTTCGTCCAACAGAGTCTTAAAGTTGCATTCAGAATTATGTACAATTAGCACACGTACCTCCAAGAGAAGGCAGAAATTATTTTATTGGGCAACTATTTTGGTTTTAATAATCCCCCAATATATTGATGTATTTGTTCGTTGAGGGATGAAGGTTGCGGGTGAAAGGGTTGGTTGAGCGAGGTAGGTTGCTGGTGAAGGGGTTGGTTGCGTTAGGTAGGCTGGTGGTGAATGAGTTGGTTGAGGGATGAAGATTGCTGGTGAAGGGGTTGGTTGAGTGAGGTGGACTGCTGGTGCTTCTTTGAACTGGTAGATAAAGAGGTAGGCTCATCAATTTAGTGAAGGGATTCATTGTCGTTGTAGTTGTTGTGGTTAACAGAGAGGGAAAATGATTTGTATAACTTAATTATCTATTTATTCTCTTCTTATTCATTAACAAGCTTGCTAAGTTAATCCTATTGCTGATGACCTGATCTGATCTTACGCCTCTACATCCGATCACACCAAATCAGATCGGATAACCTTGCTACGCTCGGATCACCTTATTCAGATCACATCTTTATTTGCTTCCACACATCTATTACACGAAGTGATGTGATACAAATGAAACTGATGTGATCTAAATATAGGGTGTACATTGTGTGACTGTCTGACTGTTTATGGAATCACTGCATGCCCAGAACCGATACGAGGGGTGCAGAATACCGAACCATCTTAACAGTACAGTAAATGAATAGTCTGTTGATTGGCCTTATGACTCTTTCGTAAACTCTTTGGAATTGCTCAGAGCGGTTTAAAATTGGTCGGAAAGTGTTTGTATTGGTCCTAAGACCACTCGAATTGGAACATTTTGGAACATTGGTAACATCGGTTCTAGACATGCAGTGATTCCCAAACTTGGTTTGAGTGGTCCTAGGACTAATATAAACACTTTCCGACCAATTTTAAACCGTTCTGAGCATTTTTAGGACAATATTCATTTTTGTTCATTTTCGTTCATTCCATGAACCTGGGTAATGTTGTTTGAGTTTTGATGGCTCTTAGGCCTAGTTTTTACCTATATCCATCTTAGAAAACCGAATTGAGGCTTCCCAGCACTTTAATACAGCCAATACTTCGATGTGCCCATGTTCCAAAAATCTGGATTCTCAGGAGGATTATTGTGACAAAATTGGAACATTTTGGAACATTGGTAACATCGGTTCTAGACATGCAGTGATTCCCAAACTTGGTTTGAGTGGTCCTAGGACTAATATAAACACTTTCCGACCAATTTTAAACCGTTCTGAGCATTTTTAGGACAATATTCATTTTTGTTCATTTTCGTTCATTCCATGAACCTGGGTAATGTTATTTGAGTTTTGATGGCTCTTAGGCCTAGTTTTTACCTACAGTATATCCATCTTAGAAAACCAAATTGAGGCTTCCCAGCAATTAAATACAGCCAATACTTCGATGTGCCCATGTTCCAAAAATCTGGATTCTCAGGAGGATTATTGTGACAAAATTGGAACATTTTGGAACATTGGTAACATCGGTTCTAGACATACAGTGATTCCCAAACTTGGTTTGAGTGGTCCTAGGACTAATATAAACACTTTCCGACCAATTTTAAACCGTTCTGAGCATTTTTAGGACAATATTAATTTTTGTTCATTTTCGTTCATTCCATGAACCTGGGTAATGTTATTTGAGTTTTGATGGCTCTTAGGCCTAGTTTTTACCTATATCCATCTTAGAAAACCGAATTGAGGCTTCCCAGCACTTAAATACAGCTAATACTTCGATGTGCCCATGTTCCAAAAATCTGGATTCTCAGGAGGATTATTGTGACAAAATTGGAACATTTTGGAACATTGGTAACATCGATTCTAGACATGCAGTGATTCCCAAACTTGGTTTGAGTGGTCCTAGGAACAATATAAACACTTTCCGACCAATTTTAAACCGTTCTGAGCATTTTTAGGACAATATTCATTTTTGTTCATTTTCGTTCATTCCATGAACCTGGGTAATGTTATGCTACTTTCGATGGCCCTTAGACCTAGCTTGCAACTATATCCATCATTTACAATTATTTTTGGCACTATTTAGAGCTTATTAGGGCAAATAAATGCATGGCACACTTTTGGCACAATTTTGGCACATGTTCCAAAAATGTTCCAAAAATGTTCCAAAAATCTGGATTCATCAACTCTGCCTCGAAAAAACATGGCCAATTTGCTGCTAATTGGGACTATGTACAAATTATTATTATGGTATAACGTCACTGAAATGGTATGACGTCACTGTCATGGTCTGACGTCACTGTAAAGACTCACCTTGTTCTCCTTGCAGTGTGAAACGAGTAAACTCTGGAAATATTGCTCCTTAATATTCAAACTGTCAAAATATTCAAGAAAATGTCAGATAGTCAACCTTAATAATATAGATATGGAAAAAAATGGATTGAAAAGGGGGAAATCAGATATTTACCTGCGAATCTGTCTTCAAAATCAATCAATCGATGAACCTAGAAGGGGATATGACGCTATAAACATTAGGCAATTGCAGTATAGAAGTAACACGGTACACTGCACAGAATACTCTATAGTAACACGGTACACTGCACAGAATACTCTATAGTAACACGGTACACTGCACAGAATACTCTACAGTAACACGGTACACTGCACAGAATACTCTACAGTAACACGGTACACTGCACAGAATACTCTATAGTAACACGGTACACTGCACAGAATACTCTACAGTAACACGGTACACTGCACAGAATACTCTACAGTAACACGGTACACTGCACAGAATACTCTATAGTAACACGGTACACTGCACAGAATACTCTATAGTAACACGGTACACTGCACAGAATACTCTATAGTAACACGGTACACTGCACAGAATACTCTATAGTAACACGGTACACTGCACAGAATACTCTACAGTAACACGGTACACTGCACAGAATACTCTATAGTAACACGGTACACTGCACAGAATACTCTACAGTAACACGGTACACTGCACAGAATACTCTATAGTAACACGGTACACTGCACAGAATACTCTATAGTAACACGGTACACTGCACAGAATACTCTATAGTAACACGGTACACTGCACAGAATACTCTATAGTAACACGGTACACTGCACAGAATACTCTATAGTAACACGGTACACTGCACAGAATACTCTATAGTAACACGGTACACTGCACAGAATACTCTATAGTAACACGGTACACTGCACAGAATACTCTATAGTAACACGGTACATTGCACAGAATACTCTATAGTAACACGGTACACTGCACAGAATACTCTATAGTAACACGGTACACTGCACAGAATACTCTACAGTAACACGGTACACTGCACAGAATACTCTACAGTAACACGGTACACTGCACAGAATACTCTATAGTAACACGGTACACTGCACAGAATACTCTATAGTAACACGGTACACTGCACAGAATACTCTATAGTAACACGGTACACTGCACAGAATACTCTATAGTAACACGGTACACTGCACAGAATACTCTATAGTAACACGGTACACTGCACAGAATACTCTATAGTAACACGGTACACTGCACAGAATACTCTATAGTAACACGGTACACTGCACAGAATACTCTATAGTAACACGGTACACTGCACAGAATACTCTATAGTAACACGGTACACTGCACAGAATACTCTATAGTAACACGGTACACTGCACAGAATACTCTATAGTAACACGGTACACTGCACAGAATACTCTATAGTAACACGGTACACTGCACAGAATACTCTATAGTAACACGGTACACTGCACAGAATACTCTATAGTAACACGGTACACTGCACAGAATACTCTATAGTAACACGGTACACTGCACAGAATACTCTATAGTAACACGGTACACTGCACAGAATACTATATAGTAACACGGTACACTGCACAGAATACTCTATAGTAACACGGTACACTGCACAGAATACTCTATAGTAACACGGTACACTGCACAGAATACTCTACAGTAACACGGTACACTGCACAGAATACTCTATAGTAACACGGTACACTGCACAGAATACTATATAGTAACACGGTACACTGCACAGAATACTCTACAGTAACACGGTACACTGCACAGAATACTCTATAGTAACACTGTACACTGCACAGAATACTCTACAGTAACACGGTACACTGCACAGAATACTCTACAGTAACACGGTACACTGCACAGAATACTCTATAGTAACACGGTACACTGCACAGAATACTCTATAGTAACACGGTACACTGCACAGAATACTCTATAGTAACACGGTACACTGCACAGAATACTCTACAGTAACACGGTACACTGCACAGAATACTCTATAGTAACACGGTACACTGCACAGAATACTCTATAGTAACACGGTACACTGCACAGAATACTCTATAGTAACACGGTACACTGCACAGAATACTCTACAGTAACACGGTACACTGCACAGAATACTCTATAGTAACACGGTACACTGCACAGAATACTCTATAGTAACACGGTACACTGCACAGAATACTCTATAGTAACACGGTACACTGCACAGAATACTCTATAGTAACACGGTACACTGCACAGAATACTCTATAGTAACACGGTACACTGCACAGAATACTCTATAGTAACACGGTACACTGCACAGAATACTCTATAGTAACACGGTACACTGCACAGAATACTCTATAGTAACACGGTACACTGCACAGAATACTCTATAGTAACACGGTACACTGCACAGAATACTCTATAGTAACACGGTACACTGCACAGAATACTCTATAGTAACACGGTACACTGCACAGAATACTCTACAGTAACACGGTACACTGCACAGAATACTCTACAGTAACACGGTACACTGCACAGAATACTCTACAGTAACACGGTACACTGCACAGAATACTCTATAGTAACACGGTACACTGCACAGAATACTCTACAGTAACACGGTACACTGCACAGAATACTCTATAGTAACACGGTACACTGCACAGAATACTCTATAGTAACACGGTACACTGCACAGAATACTCTATAGTAACACGGTACACTGCACAGAATACTCTATAGTAACACGGTACACTGCACAGAATACTCTACAGTAACACGGTACACTGCACATAATACTCTATAGTAACACGGTACACTGCACAGAATACTCTAGAGTAACACGGTACACTGCACAGAATACTCTATAGTAACACGGTACACTGCACAGAATACTCTATAGTAACACGGTACACTGCACAGAATACTCTATAGTAACACGGTACACTGCACAGAATACTCTATAGTAACACGGTACACTGCACAGAATACTCTATAGTAACACGGTACACTGCACAGAATACTCTAGAGTAACACGGTACACTGCACAGAATACTCTACAGTAACACGGTACACTGCACAGAATACTCTACAGTAACACGGTACACTGCACAGAATACTCTACAGTAACACGGTACACTGCACAGAATACTCTATAGTAACACGGTACACTGCACAGAATACTCTACAGTAACACGGTACACTGCACAGAATACTCTATAGTAACACGGTACACTGCACAGAATACTCTATAGTAACACGGTACACTGCACAGAATACTCTATAGTAACACGGTACACTGCACAGAATACTCTATAGTAACACGGTACACTGCACAGAATACTCTACAGTAACACGGTACACTGCACAGAATACTCTATAGTAACACGGTACACTGCACAGAATACTCTAGAGTAACACGGTACACTGCACATAATACTCTATAGTAACACGGTACACTGCACAGAATACTCTACAGTAACACGGTACACTGCACAGAATACTCTATAGTAACACGGTACACTGCACAGAATACTCTATAGTAACACGGTACACTGCACAGAATACTCTATAGTAACACGGTACACTGCACAGAATACTCTATAGTAACACGGTACACTGCACAGAATACTCTATAGTAACACGGTACACTGCACAGAATACTCTAGAGTAACACGGTACACTGCACAGAATACTCTACAGTAACACGGTACACTGCACAGAATACTCTACAGTAACACGGTACACTGCACAGAATACTCTACAGTAACACGGTACACTGCACAGAATACTCTATAGTAACACGGTACACTGCACAGAATACTCTACAGTAACACGGTACACTGCACAGAATACTCTATAGTAACACGGTACACTGCACAGAATACTCTATAGTAACACGGTACACTGCACAGAATACTCTATAGTAACACGGTACACTGCACAGAATACTCTATAGTAACACGGTACACTGCACAGAATACTCTACAGTAACACGGTACACTGCACATAATACTCTATAGTAACACGGTACACTGCACAGAATACTCTAGAGTAACACGGTACACTGCACATAATACTCTATAGTAACACGGTACACTGCACAGAATACTCTACAGTAACACGGTACACTGCACAGAATACTCTATGAGTATTGTGAGTATTGCTGAAAGCACAGTGTAAGGCCTACACGGACCGCCTCTAACTAGCCAATCCCTGTTTACATGCCGTGTAGCAGGGGACTAGAAAGAGCTAAACTAGTAAGCGGGGCATAGCCAATACACTATACTTCCATCATTGAGTATATTACCAACCAGAAGGAAAATGTCCTTGTGTTTGGAATCTACCAAGACGAAAGTTGTACAATCCAGCGAAATTCCGAAGAATCATTCCAGTAGACTAGGCGCATTGCAACCACAGCCACGGAAATACTTATGAGTATTGCTGAAAGCACAGTGTAGTAACACGGTACACTGCACAGAATACTCTATAATAACACGGTACACTGCACAGAATACTCTATAGTAACACGGTACATTGCACAGAATACTCTATAGTAACACGGTACACTGCACAGAATACTCTACAGTAACACGGTACACTGCACAGAATACTCTACAGTAACACGGTACACTGCACAGAATACTCTACAGTAACACGGTACACTGCACAGAATACTCTATAGTAACACGGTACACTGCACAGAATACTCTATAGTAACACGGTACACTGCACAGAATACTCTATAGTAACACGGTACACTGCACAGAATACTCTATAGTAACACGGTACACTGCACAGAATACTCTACAGTAACACGGTACACTGTACAGAATACTCTACAGTAACACGGTACACTGCACAGAATACTCTATAGTAACACGGTACACTGCACAGAATACTCTATAATAACACGGTACACTGCACAGAATACTCTATAGTAACACGGTACACTGCACAGAATACTCTATAGTAACACGGTACACTGCACAGAATACTCTATAGTAACACGGTACACTGCACAGAATACTCTATAGTAACACGGTACACTGCACAGAATACTCTATAGTAACACGGTACACTGCACAGAATACTCTACAGTAACACGGTACACTGCACAGAATACTCTATAATAACACGGTACACTGCACAGAATACTCTATAGTAACACGGTACACTGCACAGAATACTCTATAGTAACACGGTACACTGCACAGAATACTCTATAGTAACACGGTACACTGCACAGAATACTCTACAGTAACACGGTACACTGCACAGAATACTCTATAGTAACACGGTACACTGCACAGAATACTCTACAGTAACACGGTACACTGCACAGAATACTCTATAGTAACACGGTACACTGCACAGAATACTCTATAGTAACACGGTACACTGCACAGAATACTCTATAGTAACACGGTACACTGCACAGAATACTCTATAGTAACACGGTACACTGCACAGACTACTCTACAGTAACACGGTACACTGCACAGAATACTCTATAGTAACACGGTACACTGCACAGAATACTCTACAGTAACACGGTACACTGCACAGAATACTCTACAGTAACACGGTACACTGCACAGAATACTCTATAGTAACACGGTACACTGCACAGAATACTCTATAGTAACACGGTACACTGCACAGAATACTCTATAGTAACACGGTACACTGCACAGAACACTCTATAGTAACACGGTACACTGCACAGAATACTCTATAGTAACACGGTACACTGCACAGAATACTCTATAGTAACACGGTACACTGCACAGAATACTATATAGTAACACGGTACACTGCACAGAATACTCTACAGTAACACGGTACACTGCACAGAAAACTGAGGAAGCAATAAAAAGCAAAGTGGCGGAGCGGGTACCTATAAGAAATATTGAAGCAACTCTGACTAATATTATATATAACTTGAAGGTAGGTAGGTGACTACTCTGACTACTACTCTGACAGCGTGTCTTATATTTAATAAACTAAGTACAGAGTATATATATATATATACTATATATATACTATATATGTAGTATATATTATATGTGTACTGAGTGTCCGACTGGACATTGGGGAGGGAAGTGGGGTGATTGAAGAATAGTATTAGTATAGGTAGGTAGTATTGCTTTGTAAGGTAGGTAGGTAGTATTGGTTCATTGTCCTTCATTATTGCGCCTTTATTAAACAATTTTTATGAGGCTTTTAGAGAAAATGACGATCTACTTGTCACGTATATATACCAATAAAAGTGACGATGATGAAGAAACTTTCCATATTGCATGAAAATGATGCCACTTATTTAACAGTCTTAGTTTGACGGTAAGGAGGGTGAGGGTGAGGGTGAGGGTGAGGGTGAGGGTGAGGGTGAGGGTGAGGGTGAGGGTGAGGGTGAGGGTGAGGGTGAGGGTGAGGGTGAGGGTGAGGGTCAGGGTCAGGGTGAGGGTGAGGGTGAGGGTGAGGGTGAGGGTGAGGGTGAGGGTGAGGGTGAGGGTGAGGGTGAGGGTGAGGGTGAGGGTGAGGGTGAGGGTGAGGGTGAGGGTGAGGGTGAGGGTGAGGGTGAGGGTGAGGGTGAGGGTGAGGGTGAGGGTGAGGGTGAGGGTGAGGGTGAGGGTGAGGGTGAGGGTGAGGGTGAGGGTGAGGGTGAGGGTGAGGGTGAGGGTGAGGGTGAGGGTGAGGGTGAGGGTGAGGGTGAGGGTGAGGGTGAGGGTGAGGGTGAGGGTGAGGGTGAGGGTGAGGGTGAGGGTGAGGGTGAGGGTGAGGGTGAGGGTGAGGGTGAGGGTGAGGGTGAGGGTGAGGGTGAGGGTGAGGGTGAGGGTGAGGGTGAGGGTGAGGGTGAGGGTGAGGGTGAGGGTGAGGGTGAGGGTGAGGGTGAGGGTGAGGGTGAGGGTGAGGGTGAGGGTGAGGGTGAGGGTGAGGGTGAGGGTGAGGGTGAGGGTGAGGGTGAGGGTGAGGGTGGTAAGCTACCTTGCCCTCTAAAGAGTCTGCGGGCCATTTTTGTCCATTAAAGTTCCTCAGTACACAGGACCTTGGCAAAATGCCTACAAATATTGTTTGGACACAACAGATCCTAGTGTCAGTTGTGAAGGAGAAGGGTGAGAGGAGCTGGTCTCTGTACAATATATACCTATTGAATATTGATATGTCTTCTCAGGGGTACTACACCTCCCCCCTCCTACTACACCTCCCCCCCCCCCCCCCCCCCCCCCCCCCCCCCCCCCCCCCCCCCCCCCCCCCCCCCTCTTACTATACCTCCCCCCCCCTCCTACTACACCTCCCCCCCTCCCCTTCTGTTACTATTCTGCATTTGATACTATTCAGAGATCAGCTTTGCTAGAACTTCTTGCTGATTCTGGTCAAAGTGAAGATGACATCATACTGGTTTAAGCACCTACTTTAATGTACCATTAAAGTGAGGTGTACCGTACCAGGGGAGTTTATTAAAGTGAGGTGTACCGTACCAGGGGAGTTTATTGTCACGATAGGTGCATTCCAAGGTAATAGTTTGTCTGGAAACCTTTTCACCCTTTATTTGGCTGGCGCACTTTATCACCTTCGTGCTTTTATGTCCTATCTAAGACCTAACCCTCTGTTTACTGAAAACCTGCGACCTCTTGAGTGGGAGTACGCAGATGAGGCAAGGAGATATTGGAGGGAACTTGTTTTTCAACGAATCAAAAACTGAGAATCCTACCTTGAGAATTACAAAATTGAAATTTTGAATAATGTTCACTTTCAGAAAATTAGAATGTTTCAAAATTATTCAAAATTATTGACAGAGAGTCGGAGATCCATCCCCCCATCCCCCCATCCCCCCATCACCCCATCCCCCCATCCCCCCATCCCCCCATCCCCCCATCCCCCCATCCCCCCATCCCCCCATCCCCCCATCCCCCCATCCCCCCATCCCCCCCACCCCCATTATAATATAATATACGTGTCACCCCCACCTCATTAAAATATATGCAATCGAGCGAGCGAGAGAGAATGGAGAGAATTGCATTGTAGTGAGCTAGTACTATAATGCTTATTTTAAGGCAATTTCATTTAAGTAGCAATAAATTATCCATCATAAAACATACTACTACTTGTTAACATTAAAAAAACATACTATTTACTTAAACTTACCGGGTCCTCAGATAGCTGCATTGTATAGAAGCCCCTCTCTCTCAATAGAAAGCAAACAACATTCACTATAAATATATACAACAACTATAAATCATAACAACTATAAATCATAACATATTGGCAGGTCAACATGCAAAGATCTAGAAGTTAGACAGCTTGCCACATTACACGTTACACAGGTACAGGTGCATGACGCTATATAAAGTGAGACAGCACTCTAAACTTGTTCCACACCAATACAGCTAACTATAAAGCGAGGCAGCACTCTAAACTTGTTCCACACCAATACAGCTAACTATAAAGCGAGACAGCACTCTAAACTTGTTCCACACCAATACAGCTAACTATAAAGCGAGACAGCACTCTAAACTTGTTCCACACCAATACAGCTAACTATAAAGCGAGACAGCACTCTAAACTTGTTCCACGCCAATACAGCTAACTATAAAGCGAGACAGCACTCTAAACTTGTTCCACACCAATACAGCTGCTATAAAGCGAGACAGCACTCTAAACTTGTTCCACACCAATACAGCTAACTATAAAGCGAGACAGCACTCTAAACTTGTTCCACACCAATACAGCTAACTATAAAGCGAGACAGCACTCTAAACTTGTTCCACACCAATACAGCTAACTATAAAGCGAGGCAGCACTCTAAACTTGTTCCACACCAATACAGCTAACTATAAAGTGAGACAGCACTCTAAACTTGTTCCTCACCAATACAGCTAACTATAAAGCGAGACAGCACTCTAAACTTGTTCCACACCAATACAGCTAACTATAAAGCGAGACAGCACTCTAAACTTGTTCCACACCAATACAGCTAACTATAAAGCGAGACAGCACTCTAAACTTGTTCCTCACCAATACAGCTAACTATAAAGTGAGACAGCACTCTAAACTTGTTCCACACCAATACAGCTAACTATAAAGCGAGACAGCACTCTAAACTTGTTCCACACCAATACAGCTAACTATAAAGCGAGACAGCACTCTAAACTTGTTCCACACCAATACAGCTGCTATAAAGCGAGACAGCACTCTAAACTTGTTCCACACCAATACAGCTAACTATAGAGCGAGACAGCACTCTAAACTTGTTCCACACCAATACAGCTAACTATAAAGCGAGACAGCACTCTAAACTTGTTCCACACCAATACAGCTAACTATAAAGTGAAACAGCACTCTAAACTTGTTCCACACCAATACAGCTAACTATAAAGCGAGACAGCACTCTAAACTTGTTCCACACCAATACAGCTAACTATAAAGCGAGACAGCACTCTAAACTTGTTCCACACCAATACAGCTAACTATAAAGCGAGACAGCACTCTAAACTTGTTCCACACCAATACAGCTAACTATAAAGCGAGACAGCACTCTAAACTTGTTCCACACCAATACAGCTAACTATAAAGCGAGACAGCACTCTAAACTTGTTCCACACCAATACAGCTAACTATAAAGCGAGACAGCACTCTAAACTTGTTCCACACCAATACAGCTAACTATAAAGCGAGACAGCACTCTAAACTTGTTCCACACCAATACAGCTAACTATAAAGCGAGGCAGCACTCTAAACTTGTTCCACACCAATACAGCTAACTATAAAGCGAGGCAGCACTCTAAACTTGTTCCACACCAATACAGCTAACTATAAAGCGAGACAGCACTCTAAACTTGTTCCTCACCAATACAGCTAACTATAAAGCGAGACAGCACTCTAAACTTGTTCCACACCAATACAGCTAACTATAAAGCGAGACAGCACTCTAAACTTGTTCCACACCAATACAGCTAACTATAAAGCGAGACAGCACTCTAAACTTGTTCCACACCAATACAGCTAACTATAAAGCGAGACAGCACTCTAAACTTGTTCCACACCAATACAGCTAACTATAAAGCGAGACAGCACTCTAAACTTGTTCCACACCAATACAGCTAACTATAAAGCGAGACAGCACTCTAAACTTGTTCCACACCAATACAGCTAACTATAAAGTGAGACAGCACTCTAAACTTGTTCCACACCAATACAGCTAACTATAAAGCGAGACAGCACTCTAAACTTGTTCCTCACCAATACAGCTAACTATAAAGCGAGACAGCACTCTAAACTTGTTCCACACCAATACAGCTAACTATAAAGCGAGACAGCACTCTAAACTTGTTCCACACCAATACAGCTAACTATAAAGTGAGGCAGCACTCTAAACTTGTTCCACACCAATACAGCTAACTATAAAGCGAGACAGCACTCTAAACTTGTTCCACACCAATACAGCTAACTATAAAGCGAGACAGCACTCTAAACTTGTTCCACACCAATACAGCTAACTATAAAGCGAGACAGCACTCTAAACTTGTTCCACACCAATACAGCTAACTATAAAGTGAGACAGCACTCTAAACTTGTTCCACACCAATACAGCTAACTATAAAGCGAGACAGCACTCTAAACTTGTTCCTCACCAATACAGCTAACTATAAAGCGAGACAGCACTCTAAACTTGTTCCACACCAATACAGCTAACTATAAAGCGAGACAGCACTCTAAACTTGTTCCACACCAATACAGCTAACTATAAAGCGAGACAGCACTCTAAACTTGTTCCTCACCAATACAGCTAACTATAAAGCGAGACAGCACTCTAAACTTGTTCCACACCAATACAGCTAACTATAAAGCGAGACAGCACTCTAAACTTGTTCCACACCAATACAGCTAACTATAAAGTGAGGCAGCACTCTAAACTTGTTCCACACCAATACAGCTAACTATAAAGCGAGACAGCACTCTAAACTTGTTCCACACCAATACAGCTAACTATAAAGCGAGACAGCACTCTAAACTTGTTCCACACCAATACAGCTAACTATAAAGCGAGACAGCACTCTAAACTTGTTCCACACCAATACAGCTAACTATAAAGTGAGACAGCACTCTAAACTTGTTCCACACCAATACAGCTAACTATAAAGCGAGACAGCACTCTAAACTTGTTCCACACCAATACAGCTAACTATAAAGCGAGACAGCACTCTAAACTTGTTCCACACCAATACAGCTAACTATAAAGCGAGACAGCACTCTAAACTTGTTCCACACCAATACAGCTAACTAAAAAGTGAGACAGCACTCTAAACTTGTTCCACACCAATACAGCTAACTATAAAGCGAGACAGCACTCTAAACTTGTTCCACACCAATACAGCTAACTATAAAGCGAGGCAGCACTCTAAACTTGTTCCACACCAATACAGCTAACTATAAAGCGAGACAGCACTCTAAACTTGTTCCACACCAATACAGCTAATTATAAAGCGAGACAGCACTCTAAACTTGTTCCACACCAATACAGCTAACTATAAAGCGAGACAGCACTCTAAACTTGTTCCACACCAATACAGCTGCTATAAAGCGAGACAGCACTCTAAACTTGTTCCACACCAATACAGCTAACTATAAAGCGAGACAGCACTCTAAACTTGTTCCACACCAATACAGCTAACTATAAAGCGAGACAGCACTCTAAACTTGTTCCTCACCAATACAGCTAACTATAAAGCGAGACAGCACTCTAAACTTGTTCCACACCAATACAGCTAACTATAAAGCGAGACAGCACTCTAAACTTGTTCCACACCAATACAGCTAACTATAAAGCGAGACAGCACTCTAAACTTGTTCCACACCAATACAGCTAACTATAAAGCGAGACAGCACTCTAAACTTGTTCCTCACCAATACAGCTAACTATAAAGCGAGACAGCACTCTAAACTTGTTCCACACCAATACAGCTAACTATAAAGCGAGACAGCACTCTAAACTTGTTCCACACCAATACAGCTAACTATAAAGCGAGACAGCACTCTAAACTTGTTCCACACCAATACAGCTAACTATAAAGCGAGACAGCACTCTAAACTTGTTCCACACCAATACAGCTAACTATAAAGCGAGACAGCACTCTAAACTTGTTCCACACCAATACAGCTAACTATAAAGCGAGGCAGCACTCTAAACTTGTTCCACACCAATACAGCTAACTATAAAGCGAGGCAGCACTCTAAACTTGTTCCACACCAATACAGCTAACTATAAAGCGAGACAGCACTCTAAACTTGTTCCTCACCAATACAGCTAACTATAAAGCGAGACAGCACTCTAAACTTGTTCCACACCAATACAGCTAACTATAAAGCGAGACAGCACTCTAAACTTGTTCCACACCAATACAGCTAACTATAAAGCGAGACAGCACTCTAAACTTGTTCCACACCAATACAGCTAACTATAAAGCGAGACAGCACTCTAAACTTGTTCCACACCAATACAGCTAACTATAAAGCGAGACAGCACTCTAAACTTGTTCCTCACCAATACAGCTAACTATAAAGCGAGACAGCACTCTAAACTTGTTCCACACCAATACAGCTAACTATAAAGCGAGACAGCACTCTAAACTTGTTCCACACCAATACAGCTAACTATAAAGCGAGGCAGCACTCTAAACTTGTTCCACACCAATACAGCTAACTATAAAGCGAGACAGCACTCTAAACTTGTTCCACACCAATACAGCTAACTATAAAGCGAGACAGCACTCTAAACTTGTTCCACACCAATACAGCTAACTATAAAGCGAGGCAGCACTCTAAACTTGTTCCACACCAATACAGCTAACTATAAAGCGAGACAGCACTCTAAACTTGTTCCACACCAATACAGCTAACTGCAATAATTGGTGAGGTGCATCTAGACTCTACGGCGGCGCCGTACAAAACAGGGTTCTACGGTGTGAAAAAACAGGACTCTGGCGGCAAATATTATTTTCCTATTTTCGATCAAAATAGATCTAATTTAATTTTTAATTAGGATGTCCGTCGTCACAGGGAGTGTTCTTTGAAAGTCAGTTTTTATCACATCAAGGAATATTTATCTCGACCTAAGATACAGCCGATGAAATGTAACACTGACTGAACACAACGTTAGCGGATTAAACTT